TGCTGGTCTTAACGACGTTATCTGATTGGTAAACAATTAGAATGTCTTGGCTATTTCGGTAATAGTTCGAATCCAATGAGCACGGTTTCCTATTAGCAATGTTTTCGTATGCACATGATGCGCAGATGTCACATTGGTGCTTGTTTTTTTGTATTTACATTCACATGAATTTTATTCGTTCTTTCTGAAATGTATCGTAGATTCCAATGTCCTTCGATCCCATGGTCCTCACGACTTGGTATAATAGAGTTTAAGATATTATAATGATCATACACCTTGCACAACTACGCGTCCAACCGTTTTTCTCTCCTATATGTAAAGAGATAAAGAGATGAGAATATAAATTATGTTTAGTCGATGCGTAAATATCCCATAGTCTAACATTATGACATCGTTATTTATAATATAGTAAGCCAATCCTCAACGTGAATCTTTATTCAATAATTCGTGCTAGGTAAATAATGAACCATTTTAAAGAAGTAATGCGTAGACCAGTGTTGAGAATTCTACAGCGTGTATATTTTTAAGCTGAGACAAAATCACTAGTAATAGAATATTTCGCTAATTAAATTAAAATGAACAGCAAACTATGCTGAAACAATTTAAGATACTAAAGTGTCGTTGAGTTAATTGCTTACTTCTGCCACCTTTTGATGTGCCTATAATTATTTATGTTAATTATCGCAATAAAAAACGCTCACGGCCTGTAGAATATCTGTGACTCTCCCACTCGCTACTTCAGCTGATCTCCGCTCGAAATAGCTGCCCGATGAGAGTGTGTAGCTGAAGATATGAGCAGCGATTAGGAAGTTGAACTCCACGAGCGCCGTGGGCCCCGTAGCTGCAACAGTACACCCCCATGCTAATTATAGCTCAGCATCCTTCGCCCCCTCGCTCGCTCGCGCGCGCTCCCTCTCTAGCAAGCACGTCAAACGCGCCCATCGGCTTTCTCAGCTTTAGCGGCAGCCCGCACTGAAGCTGGTAGAGGCGGAAACACCGACTTCCAACTAGCTAACGGACAACTTTCCTTTCTGCTTTATTTGCAGCCATGCCTGCACCGCTCGTCTCCGGGGAAGATTCTGGAGCAACTCAAGGTAGGCGATCTGTGAATATGCCATGTTTTTGATGTGCCCGTAATATCAGTTGTACAGATAGAGCGCTCGTCATTATTTAGTCAATTATCTCGTACTTCGTGCTTGTTTGCTGTAGTGGACAAATGTAGCGATGTGCATTCCACAAGACGTGTGGGTTGGTATGCACTATATGACGGCATACTTGCAGCAATGTTTCATTGCAATTATTCGTAATTTATGAACTTTGTATCCGTATCCATAGGGATAAATTAAGACTGCGCCAGATTTTATCAATATCCCGATTTCACGGTGACCCACCCATTAGTTAATACAGAAATGTTTTGGTGCACGCGCATAATAATAAGATATATAACGTTTTCTGGTCATTGCTAATCGCAAAAGACATCGCAAAAGCGTGAAAGCGTATTAAAATTGTCAACCAATCTAAAAATTATCCAAATATCCAATTTATCCAATAAATCCAAATTTATCTACCAATCATAACAATACAATTCTGGCAGTTAGCTATCGTAATGACCTGGTCATTATTCTAGCGGGGCAACGATTAATCACCATAGCGTAATTAGTAGGAGTGGTTCTGGGAGGTTAAGCTAGCGGAGAAAGCGTGTTTGCCTTCTTCTCGTTATGCAACAGTAAGAAGCTGAATAATTGATGAGGGACCAGCTGCTTAGTGGATTAGTTGAAACTAATCCTATTTACGCAAAGTCGGTGACCATGGTCGGTTAGGCATCATATTGGTCATTGGGCCAACCATAAGGCCAGGCGGTCATCCCCCTGGCTTTCAACAAACTTATCAACATTACTAAACATTCCTGAAAGTGTTTTTTTATTATTTGATTAAGTAATGCTAGCGTTTGTTGCATTCGCTAACCAAATCTCAGCTGCACAGCATTTATATGTCAATGTGGTCAACGATAAGGATTTTGACAAGTAGGAGCGCAAGTATATTTTTTCGTGCTTTAGTCTTCTTGCACAAAATATTGAAAACATACTTTTATGTTTAGACGTAATTCCAAAGAGATGGGGTTAAATATTTACTATTCACCAATCATAATATATCGGTAACGCAGCGACTGCTTTACTAACAAGTGGATTATTAACATTGCGTATGTTAATACGATTTTATTTGATGTTTCATTAATGCACTTTCGGCGCATCATTAATAAATAAAATGATTTCAATCAGCTATACAAAAGTTATTGACACTGTATCATGGGTTTACAACTAATCAGGCATATATTGGTCCGGTTTTGATCATTAATATTCGATAAATGTGGATGCGTTGGAGCTTACAGTCTCCGTGATCGTTCCGCAGTCTATGATCGGTTTGCTGTGCATGGCCTGTTCTATATCTGTCCTACTCTATTCCCATCTGCACGGCGGACTCCCGGGAGTATGTTATCTAACATTGCGCATAGGTCCCCCATAAAACGCGATTTAAGCATCAGAGTATTCATACATTACATAACTCCTCTTTTAAAATGAGTTAACTTAAGCCAATGATTAACTGTTGCGCGTTAGGCTCGAGCTAGGAGATGGGTCGTACATGTTTCGAGTCTGAGTGTTTATCTTACCGTGTTTATACTCGTCAATTTGCGATCAATCAGGCGAGCGACGATCGCAGCCATATTCAGACCACTACTTATCGGTAATATACATTAAAAAATGGAAATGTTTGTATTATAGTGCTGACGTATATATAAGTTTAAAATTCATAATCGACAAAGATTCTTATGGAAAATAGAAAAGCTAGAGGAATCTACTCAGTAAACACGACAAGAATAACGCCAATAGTTGATGCAACAAAATCTAGTAAATATACGCATTTTAAATGTGATTTTGTTAAATGTTTGCAAATATGCCATCTGTCAGCCAGTTCAGCTGTAAATTATATATATGTACAGCTGTTAAATTTAGCTCGCTGTAGTCGCTAGTATTTACAGTGCGTTTTAACGACGTAGAATTGTTCGAAGTTGTGTATTTGGCCAGGGACAACATCTCTCTGTACTTATTACAAATGTTTATGCTATGGCGCGAGGATTGTGCCCTAGGCAACGCTAACGTATAATAACATATACCTTTAAATATATATAACGAGATACTCTCAGATTCTAAAATATAGAGGCTTATTTATATACATTTATCTATGCGAAGGTGAACTAGTTCATATATTTGTATAGCAGATGTGTAACAGAATTCTCATATATAGTCTATATAT